TGGTAAGGCATATAAGGTCCAAAAAACATCACAGTATGGTAAGGCATATAAGGTCCAAAAAACATCACAGTATGGTAAGGCATATAAGGTCCAAAAAACATCACAGTATGGTAAGGCATATAAGGTCCAAAAAACATCACAGTATGGTAAGGCATATAAGGTCCAAAAAACATCACAGTATGGTAAGGCATATAAGGTCCAAAAAACATCACAGTATGGTAAGGCATATAAGGTCCAAAAAACATCACAGTATGGTAAGGCATGACATGACATAGTATAGTAAGGCATAAAAATAACAAAAAACGTCATAGTAAAAGTATGGCATAAAATGTCAAAATAACATCATAGTATATTAAGGCATAAAAGGTCAAAAAACGTTATAGTATGGTAAGGCACAAAATGACATAGTGTAGTGTGGCATGAAAATATCAAAAAACGTCATAGTATAGTATGGCATAAAATGTCAAAAAAACCTCATAGTACATTAAGGCATAAAAGGTCAAAATAACATCATAGTATGGTAAGGCATAAAAGGTCAAAAAAACATCATAGTATGGTAAGGCATAAAATTACATAGTATAGTATGGCATAAAAATCACACTTTGTCTTTATCTTTTTACAACCCAGGGTGTAAATCTGTCTTTACACGTATGCATCCCCTTCTAGTATTGCCTGTTACGAACTAAGGAGTTTCTTCTCATTGACCACACAGATATTTCTCTTTGACAGCTAAACACTTTTGATTGCACCCAGAATTGCTCACACACACACACACACACACACACACACACACACACACACACACACACACACACACACACACACATCTTGACCATGTCTCCTTCATTCCTTTTTCTATAAAGTGCTCCTTTTTCAACATCAGTCTGCAAAGATCTTATTAAAATACACAAAGACAATTTGATTATTTTGTCAACTTTTTATTTTCAGATTTCCACCACAACATTGAGGAATAAAATTTTCATAAAATTGTCATAGTATAGTAAGGCATAAAAATGTCAAAAAACACCATAGTATAGTATGGCATAACACGTAAAAATACTATCATAGTAGATTAAGGTATAAAAGGTCATAAAAACGTTATAGTCTGGTAAGGCAAAAAATGACAGTATAAAATGTCAAAAAAACATCATAGTGTATTAAGGTATAAAAGGTCATTAAAACATCATATTGTAGTAAGGCATAATACGTCATAGTATAGTAAATCATAAAAATATCTTGTGACAGTAAGGCATAAAAACATCAAAAGACGTCATGGTATAGTTTAATAGAACAATCACACTTTGTAATTTTGTACTTTGTATGACCTAGCTTTATACAACCCAGGGTATAAATCTGTCCTTACACGTATGCTCCTCTTCTGGTATTGCCTGGTATGAACTAAGAATTTTTCTTCTACTTGACCACACAGATATTTCTCTTTGACAGGTTGACACTTTTGATGGCACCCAGAATTGTTCACACACACACATCCTGACCATGCCTCCTTCATTCGTTTCTCTATAAAGTGCATGGCCACTCTGTTCAACATCAGTCTGCAATTACACTCTGTTGTGACTGTAGCTTGATCTTTGCAAAGATCTTATTAAAATACACAAAGACAACTTGATTATTTTGTCAACTTTTTATTTTCAGATTTCCATCACAATATTGAGGCATAAAAATGGCAAAAAATGTCATAGTGTACTATGGCATAAGAAGTAAAAAAAAAAGTCATAGTATGACATAAAACGTCATAGTATAGGAAGGCATAAAACGTCACAAAAACATTATAGTATATTAAAGCGTAAAAGGTCATAAAAACGTCATAGTATGGTAAAGCATAAAACAACATAGTATAGTAAGACATAAAAATGCTAAAAAACATCATAGTATAGTATGGCATAAAATGTCAAAAAAACATTATTGTATATTAAGGCATAAAAGGTCATAAAAACGTCATAGTATGGTAACGCATGAAACGAAATAGTATATTAAGGCATAAAACGTCAAAAAAACGTCAAAGTATAGTATGACGTAAAACGTCAAAAAAAGGTCATAGTATGGTAAGGCACAAGACGACAAAGTATAGTAAGGCACAAAAATGCCAAAAAATGTCATAGTATATTAAGGCATAAAAATGCAAAAAAAAAAACGTCATAGTATAGTATGACAGAAAAGGTCATAAAAACGTCATAGTATGGTAACACATGAAACGAAATAATAATGTCATAGTATAGTATGGCATAAAAATGTCAAAAAACGTCATAGTATAGTATGGCATTAAAATGTCATAAAAACATAATCGTATATTAAGGCATAAAAGGTCATTAAAACATCATAGTATGGTAAGGAATAAAACGACGTAGTATAGTAAGGCATAAAATTGCCAAAAAATGTCATAGTATAGTATTGAATAAAAATGTCAAAAAACGTCATAGTATGGTAAGGCACAAGACAAAATAGTATATATAGGCATAAAAATGCCAAAAACATCATAGTTGAGTATGGCATAAAATGCCAAAAACATCATATTATAATAAAGCATAAAAAGGTCATAAAAACGTCATAGTATGGTAAAGCATAAAACGACATATTATTGTAAGGTATAAAAATGCCAAAAAACATCATAGTGTATTATGTCATAAAAATGTCAAAAAACGTCATAATATGGTAACACATAAAATGAAATAGTATATTAAGACATAAAACGTCAAAAAAACGTCATAGTATGGTATGGTACAAGACAACAAAGTTTAGTATGGCATAAAAATGCCAAAAAATGTCATAGTATTGTATGGCATAAAAATGTCATAAAAACATAATCGTATATTAAGGCATAAAAGGTCATTAAAACGTCTTAGTATGGTAAGGAATAAAATGATGTAGTATAGTAAGGCATAAGAATGCCAAAAAATGCCATAGTATAGTATGGCATAAAATGCCAAAAAACGTCAAAGTATAGTATGACGTAAAATGTCATAGTATCGTAAGGCACGAGACGAAATAGTATATTAAGGCATAAAACGCCAAAAAACATCTTATTATACCAAAGCATAAAAGGTCATAAAAACATCATAGTATGGTAACGCATGAAACGAAATAGTATATTAAGGCATAAAACATCAAAAAAACGTCAAAGTATAGTATGACATAAAATGTCAAAAAAACGTCATAGTATAGTAAGGCACAAAAATGTCAAAAAACATCATAGTATATTAAAGCATAAAACGTCATAAAAAAGTCATACTATGGTAAAGCATAAAACGACATAGTATAGTAAGGCATAAAAATGCCAAAAAACGTCATAGTATAATATGGCTTAAAACGTCAAAAAACATCATAGTATATTAAAGCATAAAAGGTCATAAAAACGTCATAGTATGGTATGGCATAAAATGAAATAGTATATTAATGCATAAAAATGCCAAAAAACGTCATGATATAGTATTGGCATAAAAATGCCAAAAAACGTTATAGTTTAGTCTGGCTTAAAACGTCAAAAAACAGCATAGTATATTAAAGCATAAAAGGTCATAAAAACGTCATAGTATGGTAAAGTATAAAACGAAATAGTATATTAAGACATACATGTAAAATGTCAAAAAAACGTCATAGTATAGTATGACACAAAATGTCAAAAAAATGTCATAGTATGGTACGGTACAAGACGACAAAGTATAGTAAGGCATAAAAATGCCAAAAAATGTCATAGTATTGTATGGCATAAAAATGTCATAAAAACATAATCGTATATTAAGGCATAAAAGGTCATTAAAACGTCATAGTATGGTAACGCATGAAACGAAATAATAATAATGTCATAGTAATGTATGGCATAAAAATGTCAAAAAACGTTATAGTATAGTATGGCATAAAAATGTCATAAAAACATAATCGTATATTAAGGCATAAAAGGTCATTAAAACGTCATAGTATGATAAGGAATAAAATGATGTAGTATAGTAAGGCATAAGAATGCCAAAAAATGTCATAGTATAGTATTGCATAAAAATGTCAAAAAACGTCATAGTATAGTATGGCATAAAATGTCAAAAAAAGATTATTGTATATTAAGGCATAAAAGGTCATAAATACATCATAGTATGGTAACGCATGAAACGAAATAGTATATTAAGGCATAAAATGTCAAAAAAATGTCAAAGTATAATATGACGTAAAACGTCAAAAAAACGTCATAGTATAGTATGACATAAAAGGTCATAAAAATGTCATATAGTTTGGCATAAAACGTCATCGCATAGTAGGGCATAAAAATGCCAAAAAACGTCATTTTATTGCATGTCATTAAAACGCTGCAAAACGTCATCAGCATAAAAATGCCATGGCATAATAAGGCATAAAAAAGTCATAGTATTCATATTGACATTGTCATGGGAGTTTTTGACAGAAATTAAACTCATTCATGTTTACTCCTGCTAGCAACCTGACTCCAAACAGTCCGAACGAGTTCACTCGAATATTGGTAGGGACAATTCTGTCCTCCCAAAATATTGGTAGGGACATATTTCTACCGTCCTTATGCAAACCTCATGTTTTAGTATGATTTGGCTTATACACACAATTTGATTAAGTTCTACTTCATGCTTGGGTGATTTCATTCAGCACAGTGGATGATTGTAATAGTTATACTTATAGCAAAAAGGATTTTAAAATGCATGAGGCTGAACCAGAGCCAGTCTAGCCTTTCCAGTGCGCTGCTCGCCTGGAGGACTATCAACCAGTTCTGTCAGTCTCTTTAATGGATACCGTGATGAGTGTGTGTTACAGATATGGGCTCACTGACTAATCACAATCAAGTTTCAACCCCAGAGGGTGGGGTATGTTGTGAAGTGGCCGATACAATATATGCACTGAAGACTTTGAAGGAATACAAATTAAGTATTATTATAAGTGTAGAAACTCTTGAGACGTGGCCAAAAACATGTCTTGTCATACATACATTGAAAGAATCAAGAATCACAATTAACAGTATTTTTTCTTTATCCAGTTTCTTTTAATCTCACAAAAACACATGAATCTTAAACATGAGCTCGCTCCTCTTTGCTTCTGTGCAGCTAACAATCTCACCAATTTTAAAAACAAGGGCAAAGAAAATAATTTATACATCCTTTTTTTTAATCATATCTACAAAAATAAAATCAAATACGAGGACTAAGGCTTTACAGAAAAAATTAACATATATAAAACAAGTGGGTCTGATTTCTCTATATTATATGAGTGAACACGATTTTTTTTTTTTTTTTTTTTAAAACAAAATAAAAAGACAATGAGATGAAAGTTAAAGATGTGTGTATGCATACAGTAGTTTGCACTGTGCAGGGAAGTTTTATTTGTGCAATATTACAAAAAAAGGGAAATCAGTTATAGCTTCTTTATAGCCGGTTAGGGCCAAACGCTGATGTCAATGTATGATATAAATGTAAAAAAGAAAAGAAAAAGGAAAAAGGAGATAATTGAAGATACAAAGAAACTGAGGTGTAGAGGTAGAAATTGGGGATGAAAATTCTGTAGTTAGAGGTGGGTGAAAAGAAAAGGAGATGCATGGATAGATTTTTAGAGAGAGATTGTAATTTTGATTCAACCAGCTCAGACCAAGTGATAATCCGATACTCCTAATTTCTTCTGTGAAACTATGGCCAAAAACTAATATTGCATGTAAAGACATGGAAGAATGTTAATATTTAGGAATATTTTTCTTCTTTTCATAGACAAAACTTCAGTTTCCTGGTCTGAGATGCTTGAAAAACAGCAGCCAAAATCTGACTACAAAAAAACAGTTCCCTTCAACACCTCTGAAAAGATATTTCACTTTGGTAGAACATTTTTACATTTTAGCACAAATTCTTCTGCGAGTTCATACAGGGTCAGCTGTGAAAATCAGCCATCCTGGCGATCAGTAGCACTGTTGTTTTTTTTTTTTGTTTTTCTGTTTACATCTGTACATATGTGAAAGTCAGACCTCTTGATGAACTCCTCCTCCTTAGGGTGTGCTGGCTAAAGAGTGAAAACCTTCCTCCAGGCAGTGAAACATCATTTTAGTAGCAGACTCAGTGGCTGATAGTGTGGTTCAGTTTGGTGGTGTAGTGTCAGGTCTGATGCTGGTAAAGAGGCCGGGTAACTAACTATAGCCCTCCCCAATTAGTATTTGAAACCAGCTCAAATAAAATTCAGTTCAGTTTGATTCTGCCCAGCTTGATTAGAGAGAGAAAGAAGCTATAAACAAATTAAAAAAAACAAACATTTTAACTGGTATGAGCCAGAACTTCTCATTAAGATGTTCTTTCCTTGTAGATGTTTAAATACATATTTTCTATCAAGTGTGTGTTTAGATCCATAGAGATGGACTTTGAAAAAAAAAAAAAGATCAGAGACAAACTTTGCTTAAGTGTCAGTTTTTGCTGGTTATACATGCCTCAACCAAGGCATAAACAAAACATTTCTCAACGTCAAGGACGATAAACGCCTACATATGATCCGAAAATAGTAAGAAGAATAGTTCGACATTTTGGGAAATACGCTAATTCGATTTCACGCCAAGAGTTAGACGAGGAGATCAATGCTGCTCTCATGTCTGTGTAATAAGTACAGAGCTGGAGTCAGCAGCATGTAAGCTTAGCTCTGCCTAAACACACGAAACAGAGGGATGAAACTTTGTCTGGCTCTTTTCAAAGTGACAAACTCCACCTGCCAGCACCTATAAAGCTGACTAATTAACAAATTTCATCTCGTTTGTCTAATCTATACAAACAAGATGTAACATATTATTTAGTGAGCTTTAGAGGCAGGCTGGCCGTTTCCTTTTGCTTCCATTGTTTACGTTCAGCTAAGCTAACCAGCTGCTGGCTGGAAGACTCTTGGCAGGAAAGCAGTTAAACTCATTTATCAAAATGTTGAGCTCTTTCTTTAAATGCATTTTTGCTTCATCAACTGTGAGGTGACCTTGATGTGAAATTTAATAATTTTTACAAAGCTTTTCTTATCTTTGAATAAATGTAAGTTGTTCAGTTCAGGGAGGTCTCACATTGCAAAGCTACTTGGTAAAGGGTCATGGCTTGAGGGTTATATATAAACACTGTATGGCATGACCACTGGATGGGAGAGGGGAGAAGATGCTGGTTCACAGTATTTCCTGTGGTTTTTCCACACACGATACACTGGAGAGGGCTAAAGGATGCACAGTCAAATCTTAAAGTGTAGACAGGCAATGTCAGCGGTATTATTTGGCAGCAATGTAATTGAGTAACAAACAGGTTTTCACTGAAAATTCAAGTTTCTATGTTTGAATCTGTCATTGTCTTGTTTCCTCACACTCGTTGCCCGTCTTAAAACAGCCCAAAAACATCCAAAATCTCCCAAATGTTTAACCTTAACAACTCTACATGTTCATAACAGCTGTGTGAATCCGCTGAGCTTGTTATTTGAATCGCTGAGATCCCTGTACGCCTCTGAAGCAGCGCTGAAAATAAAACCTGCCAGCATTTCAGTAGTAAACAGCGCAGTAGTGTTTCCAGAACTTAAAAAAAACAATCAATACCAAACATGTAATGATCAATACGTTGCATTGATGGATAGCCATCTTGTAGCTTAAAAAAAAGGCTTAAGGATATGACAGCATGCCTGCAACTGTTCCCATAGATAATAACTACCGTTTCTCCCACAGTGGGGGGACATGAACATCTGAGATGAATAATAAGGTTAAAGGATGCTTGTGTGTTTGTGATATTGGTTTCCTTACCCAGTGCAAATAACCTGAATTATATAGACACAGTCCTTCGGCCGTAGTGGCAGGTGAACTCAGTGTAAAGCAACCAGTGGAAGGGGGGAGGGGACCCCCAGAGGCCATCTTTGCTTAAGTGTCGGCCCCTAAATGAAGCCCAAGGCATGTCCAGTCCCTGATCTGTCCACTGTAGAAGATGTACATGACAGAGGGATGCATTGTGGGTAAAGTGCTGGGGTGATGGGTCCCTCGGATTTTTCCTTAAATTAACATTTCAACACTTTTCTGCTCCGTTCCTTCAACCAGCTCTTAAAAGCAAGACATACAAATCACTTTCCTTCACAAATATCCAACTTGGTCATTTTTCCAGCTCTTCCAACTTTTCCTTTTCTCTTCACTAGTCAACTTGTCTTCTGCCTTTTTGTTCCTTCATACTTTTGTCCTCACTTGCCCTGGACTCCTCCTCATGCTCTGGTAGAAGTCAGAGGTTGCGTTGACCTCAGAAATCCTGATGAGTCCGACCAGTTTCTTGGTATCCCAGGGAACCAGAAAAACAAAAACGGCTACAGTCCTTAGGCTCTGCTCCACTGGTCGGTGCATGCAGGGATGTGGGGCAAGGGGAGGCGGGGCTACAGTGCCCGAGTCTGACAATAGGTACATATGGATGTGTTCATATGCCATCAATCAAGACTGAATGACTGCAAGTAAATCCACTCCAGAGCAACATCAGAATCCAGTTGATTGAATCTTGGGTTCTGCTGGACTTCCTTCTTTACCTGGAGGGGTTCCAGGAAAAAAAAAAATTAGTATGCAAAACAATTAAAACTGCAATGTCAGCCATTATTGCAAATGAAAATTCAGTGCCCGCTCACCGTCTCCTGAGCCGCGATCCAGAGATGGCGTCCTGGAGACAGTTGCCGAGTGATTCTTTTGGTCGCCTGATTCCTGATTGACAGAGGGCTCTGTGAGGGTTTTCAAAAGCTTGTGATGAGCCTTCTCTATTTCCTGTAAAGGGATAAAGATGCAGAAGAGACGGATTTAAAAATTAGAGTAGGACATCAATAATAAATATGCTAACTTCATGGGTTAAAACACAACAGTATCCTGCTGCTTAGAAAAGGTTCTCCCAGTCAATCACTTTATTGATTGTTTTTGGGGACAATTGTCCTGAAACATAAGACGACCTCCAATTTTTTAAACCTAATTCCCAGAAAAACAATGAGGGGGATTCTCTGAGGGATGGATGGACACAAATAGATAATCACCTTCAGCTGGCGCAACTTGCTCATCAACCCCTCGATTGTGTTGAAAATCTCATCCACATTTTTGATCACGTGACTCTGGTGCCCAGCCTGTGATTGACCCGTTTCTTCTTCCTGTTCCGGTTGCATAGCCTCTGATTGGTTGGACTCTGAACCGCAGGCTGGCGTCTCCTCCGCAGGCTGCGTCTGCGGTGCCATCACTTCCTCCGGAGGCTGAGGGAAGTGGCTGGCGGTGGGGGTCGGAGGGTCGTTGAGATCATCGGTGACGCTCTCTCCCTGCTCTGTCGGCATTACCAAGTAGAAAGTGTTCCCTACAGCAGAGAGGTGATAAAAAACACAATGTGTATGGTGAGTGATTTCACAGAGAAAAGTAACAGCAACCCTACGATTATAGATTATAGATCATAGATCATAGATTATAGATTATAGTTTGTATACAGCTCTTGACTAAATTGGTCATCATTACCCTGCGTAGTGGCCTCGCCTCTCGGCTTGGATGATTGGTCTGGGGCGACATCATCAGTGATGCCATCAGGGACAGAAGAAGAAGAAGGACCCGCAACCACAGCTATGCACAGAGGACAGATGTGTGACAAAGAAAAGAGTGTGTGGAAGTGGAGTGAAAGAAGAGTGTGAGGGAGTGAGGGAAGAAGTTGATCGAGGAGCCAGTGTAGAATCAGTTTGTCATTGTGTTGTGCAGGGCAAGCACACGAAAGAAGAAGAGAGGATAAAGTGTGTAAGAAATAAAATAAATGAATCACAGAGTGCAGAGAAACATGCAAAGGAACGCCGCCATCAAAGGTTTGATCCATAAACAGACAGTCAGCTGAATTCACCATCAGTTCAAACAACACCACATACACTGGTGAGTTTATGCTTAATAACTGCAGTATCTTGAAAATGATGGTTTCAAATTTGAAATGATCTGAGAATTGAATGAACTCAGAGTGATCAGCCAACATGAGAAAGAGTTTAAGATAATATCTTGAAAATTTTTCTCAATCTGATCCGTTACCTTTCCTTATGACCTGAACGCTGGGCTGTTCAGTGTCTGAGGGCGGAACCTCCTCAGGTTCAGCCTCCAAGTCGTTGGTGCTGAAGTTGAGGATGGTCTCCAAAGACTCCGGCCGCTGTCTGTCAGAGAACGAGCTCCCCTCATTGGCCGTCTCGTTGGTGGGTGTGTCATCTGAATCGTGGCTCCATCCGTCCTCTTCCAGGTCTCGTGATATGAGCCGCCGAAGTGTTTCAACTGTAGAGGCGTGAAAACAACAAAAGAATGATGATTTTTAAATTTTGCAAGGATTAATGGCTGATTCCTCACAGGAGAAAAAAAGCCATTCATTTTAAGCTTTTTGGTTAAACATCCAGAAGTTTGTAGAGGTGATGCTGCAGTTTCTGCTCTTTTCTCACCATCTTGTAAAGCGGCTTCTGCCACCCCAACTGCTTGCCTTTCACCACAGATGAAAGCGCCTGATTGGTCCACAGGTGTGTTGTCAGAGAGCACAATGTCGTTGTTGGAGGAATGAGTCTCCATGGAATCTGACTGCTCTGTCATCGAGTTGTCTGGAAGGTTTAAAATAGTTGGAGAGTCTTTAAACGTGCAGTTAGGTGACGAACATTTACAGACAGTTTACATATTGAAGCTAAATAATTATAATGTGGTTACTACCTGCATCGACATTGCTGCCAGTTGATACTGGGGAAGCGCTGCGTATACTGGGGGAACTATAGAAAATGCACACAAACACAACACACACTAAGCAAAGTATCATCCAGTTTATGACTTCTTGAGATCCTTTAAATTTCTATGAGGATCACAGTAAATGTATAAAAAGAATATCCATCTAATAGAATAATGCACAGCCTGACCTGCAGGTAAAGGATTCCTAACACGTTCCTTAATTCATTATTCATGGACAGAAAATTTACTCACGGTAGTGGCATGGATCCATGATTGATCAGGGGTGATGAGCCATCCGCTGACGAGACAGTCTTCTCAAGTAAATCTTTCCAGCTGTTTAACCAAAATCCGGACAAAACATCTTTAAAAATGTACGGTAATGTGAAATGTATGTTCCTGCGGTAAATATGGACTCTATAAAAGAGCTTACGTGTTTTTTTCTGATGATGTTCCGGCCACCAGCTCGTAGATCTGCCTCTCTGTGGTGCTGATGACGTACAGGGCTTTATTGTCTATAGAGAAATTAGATCAGATACACAAAAAAGCAGAAGAGTGGTTAATGCCATGTCACGTATCACAATTATTCACATGGTTAAAAACCGCAATTTTACATTTTGCCTCTCTAAAAGACACTACAGCTGTACCTGTAGCTACTGAGCGGACCAGCAGTGAGTCCAGCTTCACCAGAGGGCTGAAGGAGGTCTTGCTGTCTCCGCTGCCTCCTCCGCCTCCACCCAGCCAGCGGGATGGATATCGCAGCTGCAGCCGGTCATCTGGGCCCCTCTGAAGGAGGACCAGGCAATCTGACAGCAGCAGCGCTTGGATCTCTGATGGAGGGATACAGAGACATGTGTTTAGACGGTATGAAACCACACTGATTAGCTAGTACGTGTCAGACAGAGACGGATACTGACCTATCTGCTTATCTTTGCTCACTTTCCAGGTGAGAGGACCTTCATGAATCATTCTCTTTGTGGTCAGGTCCAGACTCTGTGAGAAAGAAAAGTAAAACAAAACAAAATTGGATTAAAAAAAGAATAGTTGGCAGCCTTCATTACAATATGAACAAAAAAAAAACTGTCACCTTGAATTGAGGGGCAGCATCTAGTCTGCGTTGGTATTGGCTGAGACGTTGCCGATGTTCTGTTTCCCTGACGTCCTCGTTGACAGCCTGCAGTATCCCTCGGCAACAAGCCTGGGCCCGCTGGAGTGAGGGGAGGTCCGACGAACCAGCTGAAGGGAAAAAAAAAGAAGAATATGTCTTGAAAGTTGCGTCACAGAAAACTTAACAAACACGACCATCCAACACGAAGTAAACACTCCTCACCCTCTGTGTGTTTAATGATGTTGTCCAGCAGCAGAGGGTACTTGGTGAGTCTCTGCATCTCCGACACCAGCAGGTCTTTCAGCTGCAGCCTCCGACAGTGAGGACTCGCCTCACACTCCTGAGCAAAAGTCAAGCAGGTCAACATGTTGAAAACACGACTGTGGAACTATCAGGGCAAAGATAAACATACAACGAACACGCTTTAAGCCTTTTCCTTCACTTTTTTATGGTGGATCATCGACTCTCAAACAGATGGTGGCAAAAACTAAAACAAATCAAGTTGGGGAAAAAAAAGGCAGCTACAACACAACTAAGACTATTATTATTTATAACTAATAATTATAACAAATACTATTATAATGCTCATCTTGGTAAAACCAGAACATCCACAACAGAAATTACTGCTAAAAAACGTGCTGTCTGCATGAGGCTATAAAAGGCACATGGAGCATGCAAGCATAGGTTTTATGAAAGTTAAATATGTAACAGTAGGTGTGTGTGTGTGTGTGTGTGTGTGTGTACCTGGATGATGTGAGCGAAGCGAGGGTCTTTACGTTGTTTGTTCTTGATGAGCTCCAGAGCCTGAGACTGCTGACTGCACAGCTGGGACGCCTGTTCCTGAAACTCGTCTCCAGCTGCACCTTCAAACTAGAGACGCACACCACAGTTTACCTACTAAATACAGTGTACTGCACATAAACACATTGCCATAGAGATGAGAGGACGAAAATGGAGACAAACTGATGGCATTGATTATTAATCTCACCCTGGCCAGCATCACGTCCCCGATGTCCTGAACGATGGGAGTTTCTCTTCGTTTCTTCATTGCCTCACACAGACTTGCTGCAAAGACAGAGGCAACAAAAAATTGGGATTAAAATAACCTTAATCTCAATACCAAGTAATTATGTAATCTGCTAAAATTAACCTTAACTGGATGTTCAAACTGACATTAATCATAAATTCAGTTCATCCACTAATATGGCTAAAACACAAAGAAAATGAATGTTATGCTGCAAGACAAAGCTATTTCCTAGTCGAGTAGGATGGTAATGTGACACCATGTACCTCCTTGGCTGAAAATTAAGGCCCAGAACACATATTGACACAGTGGATCTGCAGGCTGAGGTTACACATAACAGTTACGACCCTTGCTTAGTATTTGCTTCACTTATTATTATTTACCTAGCAACATACAGCCCTGAAGACACGCTGACTGCAAGTACAACTCACTGTGCAAACAGAAACACTGGTAGAAGAAGCCACAAGCAGTGACACTTTTTTTTGTAATTGATGAACTGAGGCTGAGAGATTCTCATTTTTGATTCATTTCTGTACTGCACAGAAATTTAGACTCCCCCCCCCCCCCCCCCCCCCCCACACACACACACACACACACACACACACACACACACACCGTGGAGTTCGTAGACCTGGGGCAGGTTGGGGAAGATGCAGGCCAGCTCATCAGAGTTCAGCACAGACCTCATCTTCTGGAAAAAGACCTGGTCCAGGACCCGCAAGGTGCGCAGGTGGGACACCTCGGTGGTGAACAGCTCTGAAGAGGAGGATATACAGGTGAGCAAATGAAGAATGTAATCAGTTAACATATTGTTGAACACAGACAGACATTCTTAAATATTTTATTCATCACGATTGATCGTTTGTGAATTTAACTCGTACCATATATAACAGCCTGTCTGTCCACCTCCCTCGGGCTGAGTGAGGCGAGCAGCTGAGGAGGCACCGTGTCCTGCCAGTTCTGACCGTCACACACCTCCTCTTCCAGCGCCGCGGCGTCCGGTAGCAGGGCAAGGGGTGAGTCCACGCTCCTGTAAAATCACACACATGCATAAACGCACATGGGCAGATGGAGGGATGTACAGGCAGCAGAAGAAAAGAGATGCATATGGATGGAGTGACAAACAAAGAAACATGTCCAGGATGATTAAATATCTACCGACATCTTTAGATCTGGTTTTAAATGTGACACTTCTGTCTTGTGACTTTCAACTTCAAAGAGTTATGCATGTGGGAAAGAAGTCAAGCATTTTTATTTCTATTCTCTATCAGACAATTATTTACTGATTACTGATTATTTTACTACATCAATCATCTATGGGGCAACATGGAAACTCACCTGCGTCTAGACCGAGGGGTGTATGGGGGTGTAGGGTTCTCTAGAGACCTGAGTTTGAGAGAGAGTGGAGAGAGAGATGGCATGAGGTGAAAACCTACACTTCCAGGGGTAACGCTGGGGTGTTTATGTTGTCTGGGGTTTAAATCCTTCACTAAGGGGGTGAATCTTTTATTTAAAGGGATGCATTTTTAGTATCCTTAAGGTATCTGACGATCATCTCTGAGAAATTAGAAGAATCTGTGTGCAAATGTTAGCAACACTATCAGGAGGCAATAAAAGCTGTAGCTCGTGTAGTTCACAGAATCATTACCGCGCAGAGCTGCTGGACGCAGACGATGAGGCGCTGTGCTGCAGCAGCCTGAGGCCAGGCCCCTCCCTCTCCTCCCCGCAGTCCTCCATGTCCACATCACTACGAGAGCGGGGGACAGACTCCGTTCCTGAGGCAACACCCCGCCGACGCCCTTCTCCTTGAGCCTTCAACGACTCGCTGCGTGCCAGACGCACCGAGACCGTAGGGCTGCAAAAAGAAAGCATACACTTAGCATACACAGCAAACACTTTCAGCTGTACCACCCAGGTGCTGTTAACTGGTATTGAGTATATATTACAGGTGATAATGCAGTCGAAGAGAGGAGTACGTCAGAGCTACCTGTCCATGCTGTCTTCTCCCAGGCTGCTGGAGGAGAGCCTCTGGGCGTCGGCAGCGTCACCTCCCTCCTCTCCTGTCGTCTCCGTGTGATTCTCAAACTGCTGAATGATGTTCCTCACACTGCCAGGACGGACTGCACACACACAGACATCATTTAATAGTACACATACTTTCAGCAGAAAGGGCTAATGTGTATAAATTGAGGTGGAACACAAGCAATGTTCAAACTACTAGATTTCATGAAGAATAACTTAGTCAGGTATGTTTGATGAAAAGGAAAATATAGGAGTAAAAACAAAAGTGTGATGTACCTTCGTTGGGTGACAACGGGACATGGAATGCTACAAAACCAAAATGAACCAAAAAGAAACAATGAAATCAGAACAATAATAATAAAAATAACACAATGAAAACTCCATAAATCAATAAAGGAACCTGCAGTAACAATAAAAGGGCAAACAAAGGACAAAAAGAAATCAATGGTATATAATGAGTGAGAGCGTGTCATCATGTGAGCGTCTGTGTACTTGCGTGCTTCTAATGTGGTGTGACGGCGGACCAATACTGTCAGCTGATAAATGTGTTTGACAGATAAGACTCACATTTGCAGTTTAAATGCTAATAATAAAAACATGAGACCATTACTGTTTTAGAAAACTCACATTTCAGCATCTGTGCTGCTTTTTAGCGTCGAGACCATGATTATTCTTTACAGACAAATAAAAATATCTCTAAATTAAACCAGTAGCATGAGTCATCATTTTCTATTCATTTTCACATTTCCTTCCCCAGTTTTATGCCTGAATATAAGTGTGTGTGTGTGTGTTTGTATTTACTGGACTGCGATGTGGTTCGGGGTTTGCCGATGTACTTCAGGATGGGATTTCTCTTTTTATCCTCTCCATCTTTCTCTTTCTTGGTACCACTCAGCTGCGGAGACAGGAACCATAAAAGTCGTGTCATGTAATCAATGCATATACCTGATTCTTCTTTACCCTTCATTTCTTTTCATCTTCATTACGAGCTGCAACATTTCATTTTTGTTTACCCAAACCTGCTGCTCAAGAGTTACGTTTAAATGGCATGAAGAAAAGGTTTTAGAGTTTTGGTTACCATCTCTATGTAAAAACACACAGATCATTGCAGCTACAAACATTTACTAAAAATTGATTTGTTGAAGTGCAGTTTCAAAATAACAGTAGACATCATTATTTAGATAATCACTTGTCAGATCACTCCCAGAGGAAAAACAGAGGTTGCCAGTCTTACCTTTTTCGTCTTTAAGAAAGCAAGCCACTTCTCCTTCTCTGTACTCAGACCAGGGAAGACCTTGGAGTCTCTTATTTTGATACCAGAATGACGCAGGTATAGGAGGACCGCTGATGCCAGAGGAGAACTGTGGTAAGACGAGCGAAGGGGTGGAGACGGAGAGAAGCAGACGGAACAAATATGGTGGTGGAGTGGGGGATGTGAGGAGAAGAGAATCACCGGGGGAAAGGTGGGAAACAAACAAAGGGAAGATGTGAAGAATAAGTAAACAAATCACCAAGATGGGTGTTGCTGTTAAATTGCATTTCACTCCAAAAGACAAGACCGATATTTTCTTTTTACCTTCTGTCCTCTTCGTGCTTTGATCTGGAGTGGGGACAGAGAGGGAGACATAAAAAGGCTGTTAACTCCCTCCACAACAGATAGCAGGCGTTCAAATAGATATCCGAGAGACTTCTTTGAGATAAATCCAGTTCATTAAGGTGCAAACACCGGTCTAAGAAAGTGAATGTAGTGCCACAATCATGTGACGGGAAGCCGGCTGTGTGTGTATAAAGTCAAAGGAGTGAATGTCATGTGGTTTACAGGATTTGCGGCTTTGGTAATGACCTTTGTTATTATAGCCTGGGTGAGCTACGTCTGTCACTTTGTAATAACAATTTTATTGGGCCCCTAACAACAGCTCCTGTTGCTCAGCAGGAAAACAACCTGATCTTCTCTATTTTGTCGTTATTTAGATAAAGACCACCATAGCCTGAGAATGAACCCTTGCCCTCACCATGAACCGAATTTCTTGGGATTTTTACAATTTTACAGTTGCAGTCTGCAACAGGAAAACAACCTGATGAAACAGCAGAATCAGTACTCACAATATCTCCCAGAGGGCAGTGACCTGTCTGTCCACCACCTGTCTCTCTTTCACTGGGTCTCCATCAAGGTGCTGCAGATCTCCTTCTCCAAACAGAGAGCCGAGACCCATCATCTGCTTGTTCCTGTGAAACACAGAAAGACACACTGAACAGGTTAATGTGAGCTCAAGGAAAACTTAAATGGGAGACAACAATAAGATACTTTAACTGAATACCTCCCACAGTTAATGATCATCAATGTTATCACTGTTACACAGAAGAATATGTGAATGTGTGTACCTGTAGTCCTGTATCTGGTCCTGAATGTCCGGCAGGACCTGCTGCTGCAGCTCAGACAGGGGTCCTCTGATGTCCTCCTGGGCGTGTAACCGACTCTCTGATGGAGAGGACATGGACCGACAACATTTAGTCAGTGGATACAAACCCTCTCAAACAAACAGAACATCAACAGTGCTGCCACCTGGCCACGTTTTAGAATAAATCATCAACAAAATGTCTTATCACAGCTCAAAATTTCAGTTGACAGATTTTCAGTCTCACGTGAACAAAACTATAATACACATGTAATAACTCAACTAGCAATTAGACTTCTTACCGATATCTGTGAGATACTCCTCTCGTACTTTGATTTTCAAGGGCTGTAAGAAAAATAATTACATTTTTTTTTCACGTTTCAGATACTGAGAATGTGATTTGTTACTGCATGTCCCTACAGGATATATGGTAATAGTGGTATCTGAGATAAGTCATATTACTTTAACTAAGGATTAGAAGAAAGTTTTTCCTTTAGTTTCTGCAAAAAATTTAAAAGTATCAATGTGACTGCAGTGATTAAACAAATCTGTAGCCAATAATGGAATATAAGAGATAGAAGAATGTTAAAATAAAATTATTAAGTCATATTGGTACATACAGCATCTGGGTCCAGGTAATGGGAGCAGATCTGAGGTGCAAGTGCGCGGGCATCTTTAGGACTGGAGCCCAGGTAGGCCTCCACCGAGAGGTAAAACAGCTATTGTAGACACACACACAACCATGAATATGAGAGAGCAAACCAGGATAAACACATTGTATTGTTTAAACTCAGTGCTTGTGTTCAGAAAAGCTTTAATGATACAAAAAGATAAAGATATAGATAAGATTTTTGAGTATCTGCATTTACTATAGATGACGATGTTATCCAAAAAAATCTTTGTTTGATTACATGTGTTTAAATCTAGCACAGACTATAAGTTAGACTGACCAGAGGGTTGGGGTCCAGAAGCTGAGTGAAGACATATCTCATGAAAACTGTCATGTGTGCTGGTCGTGATTTCAGCAACTCAATGTCCTGGAATGGACCATCCATCTGAGATTACGACAGAGGAAAAGAGGAAAATGTGAATAATTGTACAGATGGAGGAAACAGCAAAATGTAGAAAGCGAAGAGAAATACAAAGAAAAACAGCTGAGAATCACAGACATGAGAGGCGCTAAATGTCCTTCTCACCTCATTAAATGCATAGCCGTCATCTTCTTCATCTTCTTCCTCAGGGCCAATGATCTGGGCCTTTCCGCCCTTTGAACACAGACGCACACACACGCAGATTTCAAGAAATGTAAAGCACTCTGTCGCACACTAGAGGACGCTGACAGCAGGTCCAAGCATATCTGCTATTTTCACTCGTATGCTGTGCATGCAGTGATCGGTGCAAAGGAATTGGATGATGTAAAATATGAATTGAGGGTTGTGGTGATAAATGATCTTTTCATTCTCGACGCTTCGTCTCATACGTCTTAAGAACACTTTGCAAGTCACTTTGGTGCATGGCAGGAATGGAGAGGAGCAGGTGAAGAGGAGAGAACAGAGCTGCTTCTCTGAACAGGCAAAGTGATACGCCATAAATATGTAGCTGGTGCTGCAGGCTTTGTCTGTGCATATACTAAAAATACACTGAAGATTTAGTCGACATAATATTTGCAGTTACTGAATCCTGTACCACAAGAAAATCTGAACAGTTGAAGTACAAAAATTAAAAATAAATACAAGTACTTTGCAGATTTCCTTGTGGTTCAACTAAGGTTGAATTCAATTAGATTTGGTAACGTTCACATTACAATAATCTCTTTCAGTGTGTTTGTGTGTCACTCACTCACTCTCTCTTCCTCCCTCTCAGAAATACACTGTACATATTACTGTATGTATTTATACCAGTGTGAATACGTCCAAAGACTCATAACCTGTTTTGTCAGGAAACAGTTTTTGTCACCTTGACCGAGGAGACAAAAAGTCACTATCAGACTCTGAATAACTGCTTTGACTGTTAGTGAACGAGGGGGTTCTGTGTGTTCAGTATAACCTCGACATAAACGTCTATCTTAAAGTGAATGCGAGTGCGTGTGTCCATCTCACCGAATCGGAGAGGGTGTGTGTATCGGAGCTCTGCCGTCGGTGTAGGGGGGTCCTGAAGGAGGATGAGGGGGAGGAGTGGGGACTCTCAAAGGCCTGGGGAGGAGGAGGAGGAGCAGGAGGAGGAGGAGGAGGAAGGGGGACGAGGGGGCACGGGATGAGTGGGACCATCACATACACAAACACACGACATACACAATCTCACCGGTTTTTGAAAAAAAGAAGATGTGCAGGCCTACCTCCATGTCCCCTTCGCTTGAGTCCACTGATAGTCGACCTGATAAAGCACAGGGCAGTTTTAAACCCCTTATACTATGACGAACGGTTAAAGGTTTAGTGTACATGGCCTTAGAGGTAAGTAACCATTGACCTTGGACGGATTTAAAGAAAAAAGGGGCAGATTATTTAGGGTAGTTAAGTGTGATATTGAAGTGTTGTTTTCAAATCACAACTTGTACTAGTATATGATATGTAATATGACTTATGAGATCTGCCTTCATTCTACAAACTTCTGTGTAATTTTGGCTGATCTGCTGACTAGTTAAACCAGGAGCTACAGTATGCCTTTGTTGTACTGAGAATTAAATAGAAAAAATAAGGAGATACAAACCTTCTCCAGCTATGACGTAGCTTGTGATAGATTCTGATCGCGTTCCCTCCTGGACAAGAAGCATCAGTATTTTCAGTAAAAGAAAAACAAAAGGTTAAATACACAGTGAGGACATCAGTGAGTGTTGAGCATCAGTAAATGAGCAAAACAGCCACGCCTTCCTCACCAGATCTTGCTGAATCTTGACCCTGACTTGGTGAGCTCTCCTCTTCGCGCTTTCTATCCGCTCCTCCAGTGACGGCGACGGGTTCCTCAACCGCTCCTCCATCAAGTCCTGTAAATTAGCCAGGTCTGGTTATCAGCAGCAGATTTTAGCTACAAGACATCATCGTCACTAATTACACAGGCAGTATGACACAACAAGGTGGTCAGGTAGAACACCACAGTATATAACATGTCAGATATTATGGATCTTTACATGGACGTTTTCTATTTTATTTGCATCTACGGAAAGATCAGGAAGTGGTCTGCTGTGTACAGTTTCATTTCCAAGAACTTATCTAAATACTGGAACAGCTCATTTGTTTATATACGAGTGTATCACCTGCAGTTCAGCTTCTTCCTGCTCCAGCATTTTCCTGAGTATCTGAGTGGCATGTTTTTGTACTTCTGGGTCCTAAAAGACATGTTAACAACAGAAACTGTAAATTATTTTGATGATGTACACTTGAACAAGTACTATATATATTATACAATTTCACTCACCTGTAGTGGTTTAGGTCCAGTGATTCTTTGGGAAGGGTTGCTGCTCAGTCCAGAGGGCAAGGGTGGAGGAGGAGGGGGTGGAGCTTCCCCACCCAGAGACGTTCTTTGATTGGGTGTGAGGTCAGTGGGGAGGGGCTCTAAGGGCAAGGAAGCAGCTGATGGGGGAGGTCCTTGTAGTGTCAGAGCTACATATGTTCCAGCTATCAATCAATAAAAAAGGGCATGATATGATGTTATCAGGAAGACAGACATAGCAAGCACATTAAATATAAAGAGACACTTCAATTCACCAACTACACTTATTTAAAACTCACATTTGATGAGCTTCACCACCTCCTGATGGGACATGGAGGACACCAGCGAGCCGTTCACCTGAGAGAGAAAGGTAGATGGGAAAAAGAAGAGATTCAGCAACATGGAAAACAGGGAGAAACCAACAACTCTCAGATTCAGTCTCTTCAACGTAAAGTAATAAAACCTTTATGATCCGGTCCCCCTCTTGGACCCCGGCCTTGACTGCTGCACCACCTGTAAGGATGAATGTAGGCATAGAGTGAAACTGTATGACTATCCATGTCATTGAGGTCATATATTTGAAAAACAATGTCCAAAATAAGATGCTATTGAAGTGTGTAATTTGACAGTGGACCTTCAAATCAATAAAATGTGTAGTCGTGTGAACTGGGAGAAAATTATACTTATTTTTCTTCAGTTTTGCTGAGGTTGGGTTTGATTCTTTTTCAGTGGGAATAGACTTTAACTTTCTAAATGTATGGACACTGTATCAAAACACAAACTGTCAATTTAAATGTATAAAATGAATAAAGCAGGAAAAACAATTTTACACTGCTTTAGACAGTATCTGTGTAAAAAAAAAACAGGGTAAAAACAGTGCATGTGTCTCACCTGGTCGGACATTCTGCACTAGCTTGACTCTCTCTCCACACACTGTGAAGCCGAAACCGAGCTGGTCCTTCTGCACGACCACACATCTCTGCACAAGACCAGGACCTGGGAGAGGATGACAGGAGAATAATGAGGATGTTTGGGGAATATTAAAGGACTTAAATTGTACTGCAATCCTACATCAGTCCTGCAATCACCTGTGCTCTCAGCGGGGATATCGGCCGTTGGCTCCCTCTGCTGGGCGGCAGAGGATTTGCGATCCGAGTCCCCGATGGTCAGACTGCTGAGCCTGGGTTTGAGGGATATGAGAGAGACACTTAGCCTGAAAAAATATCAAACATCTAATGTGAAACAATGAACAGAGGGAGGATCACTGAGAGAGAGAGATAGATAAAAAGTGATGGAACAGGCCAGAGTGAAAGAAGGGAAGCTTACGATGGGAAAAAGACCAATGATAGAGGAGAGAGAGGGGGGCTCAGGAGAAGATTCAAGGGAAGTGCGGGGTCAGAAGTGGGTTAGAAAGAGCAAGAGGATGAGTATATCATAACAAATAGGAAGCAACAAGAAAGCAGTCGACAGGAAAACTCACCAAGCAGCAAAAGGGCTGAAAGCGAAGCATGACGGAAAAGAGGGAAAAAACAGATAGAGAGGATAAAGGGAAAGAGAAAAAAGAGAGAGGAAACTCAGAATGAAGCCCAGTCCTGATACAAAAGGGCAAAGAGAAACTGACCAAAAGGAAATAGCCTGAAGTTCAAACGATCCCCACGCCCTTTATACTCTTACAGATTGTAAACACTGAGCGCAGCCATGACTTCCAAGAATATATTTATCTAAGGGCGAATGGCACAGAAGAAACACTTAAGTGTTTACAAAGTGTAAACACTTAAGTGATTTTGTATTATTCCAGAGGTCGAGTGACTGTTGGGCTTTAAGGAAAAAAAAAAAATCACCCAAAAACACAATGAAACTTCTTTTAAATCTGACTCAGAGTGTAATTAATCCATCCAGATTGACTTGTTGTGATTTACTAAAATCCAGAGATAATTAGCTCCAGTACCTGCACAACCAATTCATGCTACAATGATTTGTCAACTAATGGAAAAGTACATTGATAGACAACAACAGATGGTTGAGTAATCTCTTTAGTCATTTGTCAAATAAAAATGTGGATCTTTTCCTGGTTGTTGAATGTGAGGATTTGCTCCTCATATTCAGTTCTTTTGGGGTTTGGACTTTCTGGCCTCAAAAAAAAACAAGCAATTAGAAGACTCAACCTTAGATTCTGGAAAACTAAGATTAATCAAAAAAATAATTAAAAGATGAAATGATCCTGAAAATGATTAGATGTAACTCTATACCCATCTAAATGGATGGATATACTCTGAGTAAATGGTAAATGTGGTTTGACTGTGTTTTTTGCTTCAGAATACAGCTGAGCTTTCCCGGGTAGGTGCACTCAACACTTTATATATAATACAAGAAACTAGCAATGCACCAAATCCAATCCGTCAGTATCAATATCAATGGCAATATTGATCCGATAAAGTGGATAAGGTAACAATCATAATTGAACATATACATATGAACTGGCGCTACAACACATTGTGAGCACATGAAATGCATTTTATATGTATACGAAATTGTTTCTCACGCAAGCGCATGAGAGACAACTGTGCCTGCACATCAAGTCAAAGTGCCCTGAAATAACAAGAGCAGCCACTGAGAAACTTCCTGCCACAGCTGTACAATCTGTAGGTGTCAAACCACCCCCTCCACCCCCAAAAAAAACCTTGACACAAGCTCTTACTGGACAGCTGTCCTACCTGAACAGGTGTGCGTTTTTCTTATTGGCTGCCCTGCTGTCACATGACACACAAAGACAGTGGTGGGCACGTGCACAAGAACATACACACGGAAAGAGTTGACAGCAGGAGAAACAGGAAAGACATATGATCAAAACAAAGAGGCATCAGACAAACGATCACAGAAGCACAGTGTAGGGTTATGTGGTCAATATGGTGATGAACAACACTAACAAACAGGATGAACTACAGTACGTCAAGTGTTTTAGCCGAGGTAGAAGCTAGACACAACAGGTGAAGAGTCACAACATGACATTCAGGCAACAGACAGACACTGAAACCTACTGAATGAAATATCTACATGATTGCGAAATCTTTTGCATACAGCATTTTGCCCTCCCTTTGCTTGTTTTTTTTTTTTTTTTTTTTTTTAAATCACCTCCCAGTAAACAGCCTGTCTAACTCGTTTTTAACTGGCCAGACTGGGAAGTGAAATAAAGACATATCTATTGGCTAATCTGGAAGCCCTACATTTTTGAGCAAGCCTTTGAGGTGTACCACAGAAACAGAGACTGTCTGGGTGTATGGGCTTGTGTGGCTCCTACCTGTCCAGTGTAGAGGTGGGTTGGCGAAGACTCATGTCTGCAGCCTTGTGACAACTCCTCTGCTTCCTGGTGCGGGATCAACGCTGTCACTGGGCCTCTTTTATCATCATCCCTATCACCATCGTCATCTCGTTCCTCCTCAGTTCTTAGTCCACACAATGGGGCTGTCTGTTGTGCTTCGATCAGATCTTCTAGCTACTTGGAAGCTGGTTCAGATCAGACAGAGCGCTCCTCATGTTCCCATCCACCCATGAGGTTCCAGTTAGGTGTCAGTAGGATTATAAAAGAAAGTGCTGCTAAAACTAACATTCAAAACTGACTATCTCCTCAGTACCCAGGTTGCATTAGTGGTTCAAAATAAATACTAAAACAAAGGAAGTTAGTGGTTTGGTGCAGTGGTTCAGTCGTAGTGGAAAATGGATAAAGGATAGCCTGCTTCCTCACAGGTCATCAATCATGAATGAATGACTGATGCGTCTCGCTGTGCTGCAGGAGAACAACAACAGCCATGCGTTTTAGTGTCTGTGTAAAGCTAATTCATTGAAGATAAACTCAAAGTAACAGAGATTATTTGATGACAACTTGCAATGAAATACTACCTTGTTTACATGTGTGGCTTCAACAGCTGTGCCAACCTAACTAATCCCATACAAGCTAAGCACTACCTTAATGTCGTCCGTTTCTCAGTCATATGCTTGCATAGATTATTTTAAATCTAACATGGATGTTCAAAGTGATTTTCATAGAGATATTGTCCGTATTGGTGTGGCTAGTTAATGCAAAGTAGTCCACACACAAATAAGGCGTACCTCAGCTTGATAAGTAAAAAAAAAAAAGAAAAGACTACTCCAACATGCTCCCAGGCTAACTGTAACTGGCATTAATTTACATGCTATCACACTGTAAACAACAACCAACCCAGACGCTAACGTTGGCTTTGCATTGCTCCCTAACGAACTAGCTAGCTAATTAGCAGGTTACCCGGCATTAGCTAGTTCTGTCGGCTGTTGAGTTTATAAAAATGGAAGCACAGTGCAGGGTGAAAGCTAAATGTGCTTCTCTATTTGAGTTGTGACTTATCTAATAAAATGACTAGGGAATGATAACGACCATCTGAAGCGGCCTGCTGTGTCCATCTAGCGTTAGCTTGCTGAAGTTAGCTCTACGAACAGGCCGATTTCAATCCGCGGCATGACGTTGGTGCTCAAGCCGACCGAAAGCGCAGCGTATTCGGCTTTCAGCTGTGCCAGCGAGTCGGTTCTTCCCAGCTAGCTAGATAACCAGATAGATGTGCAAGACGAAAGGCCAGTATAACTTAAACTGCATGCGAATAGATGGAGATTAAAGTGGTTGAGATGATGGAAGTCCGTGCAAATTCCAGCTCGATATATCCCAGTTTTCGTGCAAATTCAGACACTAAAGCTGCATGTTAGCCAGCTAGCTAGAAGGCAATACGATTCCAGTAGAGCTCCACCTCAGGGTCTTCTTTCCAAAACAAGTCACAGAATTTGGATTTGCTTCTCTCTCTCGTGGTCCGCCAGAAGACTCGAAATTTAATCACAATCTTCGTTGCATATTTTTATTGCCTTTTTGGCCCCGGTTCTCATAATAATGATCTCTGCTGTGTTGTTATTCCTGCTGTCTTGACTGGCTGCTGATCCACCACCATGTCCTCAAAAGATCATACGGGAAACACGACGCAACACCGCCCTCGTCTGGCTGGACTGCGGTATTGCAGGTAGTTCGCCCCACCGCAGTATCGATGCTATTGGCCTCCAGGGATCCATGCAGGCAACCGTAAACTGGAAAGTAAAATGACTTGTGCTAAAACTATACACGATATACAAAATGCAACAACACAAGTAAAAGGTAACGTTGTAAAATTCTATCTAAAAGAGAAAGACTTGAGCTTTTAAGGGAAGCTTTCCAACTTTGTTTCAGTCTTTGTTTTTAAATACCAAATATGGCAGAGATCATTAAGAAATAAATGTCCTTTTAAACCTTGTTTGTTTTTCATCAAACACTAAAAATACTAGTATTGCGTGTGTACTTACTGTATTATTCTTATAGATAATATAATTTAATGTAATATAATGTAATATAATGTCATTTATAATATATATATTTTACAATAATCACCACAACATTTTGAGCTATAAAATCTCTCCAGACATGATATTGGCTAGTGCTCCCAATATTTTCTTTCTGGACTTTGCCATATACTTTTTAATGCATTTTCAGATCAGACTTTATGACCCTTTGGAGTCTGTTTGGACTGAAAACAAATGCTAGACTTCGAATCACATCTATTTTCCATATTTTATATAGAAATGAATTATCACTATTAACTATATATCAGTAGATTATAGTTTAAGTAAAGGCCTACACTTAAGACAACAAAAAAAATCACTTCAGTCTGGTAACACTACTCTTCCAGGTCCTGTGAATCCCAAGTACAAACAGATGTGGGGAAAAGTGGGTGCAACCAAAAAAAGTCAATCCAACATCTTTACCCAAAAGATCTTTCTGGTTTTGCATTTGACACAGCCTCACGAGTATAGTTTCTTTTTATACTTAGCTCAATATGAGAAGCACTTGAGAAGAGGAACTGCCATGACCTCACTGAGGCTTGGAGATTGTTTCAACTCTTTACCAAATATGGCCAGTGCGGGGCGTGGGAGACGTTGTGCTGGGAGGTATCGGGGGATGAGATGAGGGGGATGCGCCGCCAAGTACGCACTCCGTTACAGGAACTCTAAGCTTATTGAAGAAAAAAAAAAAGATGAACGATAACACGGAGCCAAGCAATCGGTAAGATCAATCTTCAGCTCAAACTTTTATTTTTCTCGCAGAGAGTTTTTGTGGAAGGTACCAACTAGCGTTAATCATGGACTATTTTTGGCTTTGAGCTGGGCGCGGTATGTCCGCTATTTGGGGACGGAAAACCTCTTCATTACACACTTATTATGCCAATTTTAATGTGTCTGTTTGTACAGAGAAGTAAACATATCTCCTCTGGCTTCATTATAATGCTGCTGTGTCTGCTTTTCAGCCTTGATTTTGTGATACAACAGAATGTATAAAGATTTATTGGGTGTAGTTAGTTTTAAGAAGCTTTCTCTGTTGCTATGTCCTCATTTCATACCAGTATAACATTGAAGTTCTGTACAGTGATGTGCAGTGCAGCACTCAGGTTTGTTTATTTTAAAAGCCAACTGGTATGTATGCACGGTATGTGTAGGCTATGCTATCAAACCAAATCTTGGTTTCCTGTCAGCGGCATGGGCAGAGACCTCGTGTACCACACAACCACATCTCTCTCTGTGTGCTACAACAGGTTTGTGTCCCTTATTTATAGCTCAGACATTAATCAATATCTCTGGCAGTTTGAAACTGGGCGACTAAGCATGAGCAGCATGTTAATACTAACAGTTTTCAGCAGAAACTTAAAGACGGGCCTTATGGATTAAAGCTTGCTTCTGTTATCAACTGAGAATCTGACTCAAGGCTTGATTCCCATTATGTCATGACAAAGTGATGAAGTGCTCATTTGGTTTGTGTCGCTTGTGTGGGTTCCTGCAGACTGCCATTAGCTACTCGGAGCTGCTTCCTGTGTTCTCATTACACAGAACAGGAAGTGACTAATGAAGTTAAGAAATGTCAGGGTTTCATTGGTCAAGGGAGGGAACATGTTTTTCTCTTTGAGTGATGCTTTCATGAAAGATGCACCATCCCTCGACCTGTTAGAGTAACAGTCATGGTCTTTCTTTGTGAAATGAAAAGTTTCTGACCTGTAATCATAGCATCTGCTGCTACCGTACAACAGATCATTATCCGTTTAATTTAGTCAAACACCAAAAATGCAATTTAAAATACATAAAGTCTGCATGTTTTGAGAAAAAAATTAGACAGTTCCGGTGACAAAAGGTGCATTTCCTCGCTTCAATGACAGTCTGTTTGACTGTGGAGATGCTCGCTCTGCTCAATCTACCTTAAAACAACCTGATGCAGTTCATCGTTGTGCTCTGCATTCACAGGAAATACTCTTTGTTCTCGTCACTGCGCACTATATGAGAAAGTAGGCTGGCCCTCACAAGGAAAAAGAAGAGAATTACATGCAGCCATTTTTCATTATAAACGTCTCCTGCAAAAACTGCCTCAGCTTATCATCAAATTTAAAACCACTTCATGAAACCAGATCTCAGTTCTGTTAAACTCTTGTTAGCCCTCTAGGAAATACTGACCTTGGCAGGACCCCTTTCCTCTATTTTGTGTGTTATAACTAGTTGAATGTCTCATCCCACTGGCTGATTTCAAAATTTCAAATCTATGTATTTACTAAAAAAAACAAAAACAAATTTGCCTTTGTTTCTTTTTCTTTTTATCTGCTGTGCTGAGTCTCTTTTGCAAAAGAATCCTGACTATCGATGAGATTACTTGATGAGATCGAGGTTATATATGTATCTAGAGGGTGTCGTATAGGTTAGGGTTAGGCAAATTTGTGATTTGTTTTTGGCTTCATAAAAGAAAACCTGCCTTGAGTTAAAAACATCAAAGTTTGGACACTAGAGGGCGCCAATGTAAAAATTTCTAGTGCAGCCTAGATTTACAAATGTACTCTAGAGCAGGGGACTTTCCAACTCCTTCAAGCTTCTGCAGACAAACTTCAACTTCCTGAATACCTACCCTGCACAGGTCACAGCTTGAACAGCCAATCGAGATTTATCACACATTCCTTGGTCCTTACACAATTTTACTTTTGAGCCTAGACATGTCAGTCAGGGACTGAAGCACTTAAAAACCACTTTAATTAGCATCTATGCTGTTGCAGTTTCTCACCATTTGACATTGTATAAAGCCTATTAAAAGCCTGTTTATAACATTTAGCGAATCATCTGACTCCACTATGACATGTCTTTAACAAACTGGTCACTGGCCAGCTGTGCAGAGATGTAAAGCATGCATCATTAAATCAGGGCTACAGCATTTTCTAAGAAAGAGAATAAGCTGACTCTCTGCTTAAGAAATGAAGTTCCATAGGATGTTTCAGTGATATACTGTACAGTATTACTTTGCTCGCATTTTGCATCTAAATATTCCAAAATCACATTATAATTTCACCAAACTCTGCATCTATTTCTCCTGATTACTCTCTTTGATTTTCATCTTTTTGCAGAATAGGTGAAAAACATCCACAGAGTATGTGACAAGCTTCCAACACAGGATCTCACATTCTGTTTTAAAGACTTTATCTTGACCCTCGCTGGACCACAGAAGCCGCTTTCAACTCCTGACTGACTGTGATATCCCATCATGCCACTGATCATGTTTCCCACCTCCCAGCTGCTATGGGTGCGTGTAGCTGCCCTGTTGTTCACCTGCGTGGCTTTCAGTGTTGCAGCACACGGAGCCAACATCGGCGGAGGCATGGCCGACTGGTGCATCTTCTGCTGGGCGTTCAGCTTCGCCTGCACCCTGCTGGTCCTGCTGGTGGAGCAGTTTGGCCTCCAGGCCCGAGCACCGGTGTCCTGGTCAAACTTCCCCATCACCATAGCTTGCTACGCCACCCTCCTTTGCCTCTCTGCCTCTGTTATCTTCCCGCTCTATTTCCTCAAGAACCAGCAATATGTCAGTGATGCTGCTCGTGACCATCGCATCGTCTCCACCGTCTTCTCCTGCCTGGCGACGGTGGCCTACATGGGGGAGGTGAGCCTGTCTAGAGCGAGGCCAGGGGAGGTGGCAGGTTACATGGCTACAGCTCCGGGCTTGTTGAAGGTGTGCCAGACCTTTGTGGCCTGCGTCATCTTCATCCTGGTTAGCAACCCTGTGTCATACGACAGTCATGCAGCTCTCAAGTGGTGCATGGCCGTGTACTGCATCTGCTTCATCCTATCCATGGCTGTGGTGGTGCTGTGTGTGGGCGAGTGCACAGGCTGCCTCCCCATCCCGTTCTCCAAGTTCCTGTCGGCATACGGGCTGCTGGCGGTTATCATGTACTTGACCGCTACCATCATCTGGCCTGTGTTTCAGTTTGACAAACAGTACCAGGGTAGAAGTTATGGGTCGTCAAACCTGATCACTGTGGCCGTGCTCACTGCCCTCAACTTCCTGCTTTACCTCGCTGACCTGGCCTACACTGCCAGACTAGTGTTTGTCACTGTCTGAGAAGAAGAAATGAAGGAAGGAGAGGCACTGAGTGATGAAGAGAATAAATAAACTAGCTTGAGTGGCTTTGCAGAGAAGTGTAGCTGATTTTGAATTTCTGACAAAAAAGACATGACTTTAACCTTTTGCTGCCTAATTGTAAAATGCTGGAATTAAATGTCCTGTTGATACATGGAAAGCCCAATAAATCAAAAGCTCATTTACATCATGTGTGTGTGTATACGTGAGCACAGTACTAGTTTGTATATTTCCAAATATCTGCAATGACAGTAATTAACGTCCAGTGTGACCTTTGTTAAGTAGAAGGTGAAAGATCTAAGTGTGACACAATTAAAACAATATGAGGTCTGTTCAAATCCAATGAAGTCAAACACACTGAACGAAACCAAAAGTGAAAAGGAAATGTTGCTTTTTTTATTTTTTAATGTTTAATCTATTTTTTATTGGACAGAAATGTATTTATCCGAGACACACATGTAATCTTTGGTTTCTGATGGAGAATACACAACCCACCAAAAGGATTTTGTTCCATATGATTCTTATTATCTTTTGTTAATAAGGTTTTGGGAGAAAAAAAATACTTCCAAAGTATCAGTATTGAAACAAGAATGTAATTTGAGCACATTAAGCTTTTAGTGAAACCAATAAATATTTTGTGTTGAAAGGAATGTGTGACTCAGGCAACTGTCATTCTGCTTTGTTTACTAATTACTGATATTGTGGACTAATGAATGAATTAAGGTTACCTCCCACCCATCTGAAGAAAAACATACATTCATTTGAGACTTAATGTGAAACCCTAAATTATCCTGAGAATGTTGCCTTCAACCATACGTTCACTGTCCCTACAGTACATTCACAAAGGAAAGGTGTTCACATTAGAAAGGAGGATTAGATGACAGGAAACATATTCTCATGTGAAGTCAAAAACAGCAAAGGAGGCAGCAAGCTGAGGTAGTCTTCAACAATATGGACATTTCCATATAAATATATGAGATCAAAAACTATTCACAGAGGATCTGTTTAGTCCAGTGCATGTTTTAGCCTTAAACTAACGTTGGATGCTCATCATTGGTGTCTAGAAGGCACCAGCAAACCTGTATCTTTATTTATAAGGCCTTGCTATGAGATATTTAACATCCTTTGTTGAGTTCAGAAATAATAACCATGACACCAGATTATGAGATCACTCACAATATATTTTTCTCTGTATTTTTCTATACTCTCTCTGAAATGCATCAACAATGACACTTACACATACTTTTAAGAGTTTCACCAATTGTTGTCCATATTTACCTGCATTGTCTGGTTAAACCAAAGAAAGGATTATTCGACAAGGCACAAAATGTGTGTGTGTGTGTGTGTGTGTGTGTGTGTGTGTGTGTGTGTGGTGAAGCAGTTGAAGTTGATCCAGACACTGGAGGAGATGAGGAGCAGGACAACAGCAGTGAGTTAATTAGTTAGAAATCTAAACCATCTCCTCTAAGGCAAAAATCTATTTAAAATGCAGAGCAAAAAGATGACAGCAGAGGGCGCCAAGTTGTAATAGTACAAAATCACAGTATGAGACTTCTGGTTCTGCCAAATGACAGGTCAAGCCTACATTTAAAAAAAAAGAAGGGAACCAGACTAAATGTCAGAAACTACTGAGGAGTAACACATCTGCTGGCCAAATTTAAGTATTTCACTTAACATACAGTGGCTCAGAATCGTTGTTGCCACAATTTAAACAGGGTGCAGCCCACATGTGAAGATCAAGAAGAATGAGAGATATCAAATCTTTTCTCTGGCATAAAAACCTGTTGCTGGTTATGCGGTTATGCATTGTGGTATGTTGAGGCAGTGCCTTTAAAGACAGAAATAGAAACAGAAAGCAGAATAGAAGCAGAGCAATTTCAACAGCAGTTGCCACAAATTTTCAGATCTCATTTTCAACATCATGGAAGGTGAGTTAAGATAAATTAAATTATTCTGTGTAGGTCTATGTTCCATGTTATGTGTGAACTGTATTCAAAGATTAATCACTGAAAAACATACATGTATATTCAAGGTTGAAATAGTTCAATGATATATTACAAACTACTGTCAGTAAAACTTATGTGATCCATAAAGCAAACTCAACTAAAGACATTTTGAAGTGACTGAATACAAAAGTAAAAATAATGCTGCCTGCATGTATTTTTTGATGTTCATACATAGATATGCAAAATATTCAGTGCTTTTTGCCAGTGTTCATATTGAATGTATCTGTAAAAGTTTCACTGCCAACATTTTTTTGAGTTGCATGATAACCTTGTATTGTTTTATTTTTTTCTATTAATGCTCATTGCTTGTTGATAGATCTGACAGAACTGTTTTCATGCGTATTTTTTTTACTACGATGCTGCACACTTGACTTTAAAGCTGCACTGGTAACAAATCACAGGATAAGACCTATGGTTCTGCCAAAGACAGGTCAAGTCTACATTTGTTTTAAAAAACAAAAATTAGACTAAATGTCAGACTGAACCACTGAGGAGTAACACAGCTGCTGGCCATACTTCAGGACATTTTGAACTATTTAACCATTTAAATCCAGTGGCTCAAAATTTTGTTATCACAAATAAAACAATTCAAAGAACTTTTCTTGCGCCTGGATTTGCCATCCACTGTCAATGTGAAGCTGCCTCCCTCTGACTCACAGAAAAGACAGAAAAGGTCAAATGTGACAGAAATTGGTAATCCAGATATTCAGGACATTTTGGATATTCCTGACTATAGCAGCTCGATGTAAGAAGCACTTTTGCTTTTACTGTATAATGAATGTGTGAGGATTGACTGAAAGAATGTCATCAGGCAACAGAGACCAAAAATAAAAACACAGACATTTGCTATAAAAGACAACACAGAAAACCTATTTGACATTCAAGTGAGTCAGGCTTATTCAAAGTCTAGAGTGCTTAAACTACCTCTATGGCAGTCTATAAGTATTTGTTATGTTAAAAATGAAGCATCAAGGACAATGAAAAACATCAATGATGAAAATATAACATGCAAAGAGCTACAGTGTCACACATGCTGATAAGATACTACACATCCATATATTTTAAGCTTTGAGCTGAGATAGAACCACTGAGAGCAAAAGCCCAAAAAATCATTCCAAACTCACTTTTATCATATAAATTAAATATGCTAAAATTTATATAATTACATAATTGAATCTCAAGCAAGACATGACTTTGGTTGACTATGTAATGAAGTGTTTTAACTTTCGAAAGTAACACAAGCTCAAACCTCAAACCTCAGCTACCACAGAAACTTGAAGATCAAGAACAACCAGACTGAAAAGTCTTTGCTGGTTATACGTCATAGGTTGTTAATGCAATCACTTGAAAGCGAGAAAGACAAAACAGAATCCAAGCAGAGAAATTTTAACAGTAGTTCCAACCCGATTTAATTTTTTAACATCATGGAAGGTGAGTTAAGATCAATTATAATGTATTCTGTGTGGGTTTATGTTTCATGTTATGTGTGAATTGTATTCAAACATTAATGACTGAAAACAGAGAGTAGTTGAAAATTGGATTCATGTCTATATCTGGTCTAACTTCTTACTTAGGAACTCCTCCACACGTTCTGTGTTCCACTGAAGTTGATCCAGACGCTGAAGTTGAGGAGCAAGACGACAACAGTGAGTTAGACCCTGGAGAAGCTATTAAGCACAATTAAATCCCATGATTCATTCTGACAGATACACTTAAAGGAGATTGGAAACCTCTTTTCACAGCCTATTAACCAGGAAATAACTTAAATAAATATATTTTTCTATTGACATACAGTAATGTACAATATTGCTAAGACTATGGACAACTATCAATACATGAACTGGATGTTTTATCTCTCTGAAATACACTCAGTGTTTCTACTAGGTGTTGTCCATATTAACCCACACTGTCTGCTCAAACCAAAGAAATTATTATTTCACAAGGCACAAAATAAGAAGCCAAGCTAAAGTTAAAAATTTTACATTGTCTTATGTGCTAGTTATAGAAGCTAACTTTAAAATACTGTCACTCTTTGTTATGCACTAAAGTGTGCATAAAGTATATTTCTAGAAGTCACATCACAGTGCTGAGTAGCACAATAAGATGCAAAAGAAATAAAGTAGGTTCAATATCATTATTCTTTTCTAGAGTCAGACTTGAGGATCGTCCTACTGGGAAAAACTGGAGCTGGGAAAAGCAACTTGTGCAACACCATATTTGGAGATGATGTGTTCAAGATAAACCACACTGCAAAGTCTGAGACAACAAAATGTCAGAGTGAAAACAAATCTGTCAATGGGAGAAGAATCACTTTGATTGACACCCCTGGTTTCTTTGACACAAACAGATCTGAGGAGGAGCTGAAGCCTGAGATGGCGAGGTGTATCACAGAGTGCGCTCCTGGGCCTCATGCTTTTCTCATTCTGCTTAAAGTGGAGAAATATACAGAGCAAGAGCAGGCTGTCATCAACAACATATCCCAGTATTTCTCTGAGGAGGCTTTCAAACATGCTGTAGTTGTCTTCACTCATGGTGACCAACTCCCTGAAGGAATGAAGATTGAGGAATATTTCAAAGACAATAAAGGTCTGTGTGATCTGGTAGAGAAGTGCGGCGATCGCTGCCACGTCATTGATAATAAATACTGGAACAACAACCAGCAGGATGAATACAGGAACAATAAAGTCCAGGTGGCAGAGCTGCTCAACACAATACAAGCAATGGTGGACAAAGGAGGCTGCTACACCAATGACATGCTACAAAGAGTGGAGACAAAAATACAACAAGAGGAGAAGCTCATCAGACAGTCATCACCAGATATGTCAGAGACAGAAATCAGAGAGATGGCAAAGATCAATGTCTCAAATCATCTCAGGAAAATAGTTGGTGTTACTGTAGGAACACTGTTGGGAGCTTTGCTTGGTGTGCCAGTGATGGTTTCATCAGTTGTCACAGCCTTTATGACAGTGCAAACCGGAGCAGTAGCAGTGGAGGCAGCAGTGGTAGCAGGAGGAGGAGCTGCAGCAGCTGGAATTGGATTAGGTGTAATTGCAGGAGCTGCTGCAGCAGCAGGAGCAGTAGCAGGAGGTTGTATTGGATATAATGTAGCTGATCAAGCAAACTCACCTGGAGAGGCAGCAAAGAACACAGCTATTGCTGTCTTTGACAAAGCTAAAAAAATGCTGAAAAGGCAAAAGCAAAGTGAGGAGAAATCATCTGTTCTTAAACACAGTTGAAACAAATGGGCTTCTTCTGGTCTTTTATCATGACTACACTTTGAAAACACAATTCCTATCTAAAAGACCATTGGACCTTACTACTTGAGAAAGTCTTTTACAGTTTTAGAAACCCTTGTTGATGTTTTAGAAATCTTTCATAGATTTTTGCTTTTGATGAGAACTATTTAAACTGCACAGCAAAAAGATGACAGCAGAGGCAGCAACTGTCCAGGAAATGTAGAATTCTAACACCTACTAAATAGACTTTAGCAACATATGCATCCAGGATCAAAAACAAGGTGAGGAGGAGAAACAAATGCAGAAATGAAATGTTTTTTTTTTTTAATGTTTTTTTGTGTGTGCTTTCCCTCTTTATGTCAGTGATATCAGATTGATTTTATGGTAATGCATTAAATTTTGATTGTTACAATAAAACCTCTCATTTGTTGACATTTCCTTTTTTTCAAAATGAAAAATGCAAATAGATTTATTGTGTAATAATTCTACAACAGATACTTCATCACTTTCAGATGTTTGACTAGAGTCAGAAAAACACATGAGCAGTGTGCACACGTTCAATCTGAGAATAGTGTGGGTATGAAATCAAGATGGCCTTCAATTCTCTCAAAAACAATTTTGAAAACAGTTGTACATGAATCTAACTCTTTGGCATGTGAAGTGTAATGTGTGTGGTTTCTTTGAAATGTCTTTTTAAAATAATAAATGAACAGCTGGAACTATATTGACACTGAAGTGGTTTGTAAGGACATGGTGTGTTTCAAGATTTTGAAATGGAGATTTTGAAAATACTAAGAAATTCCACAACAGTCACCCTAACATTGGGAAATTACATTGTTTCTTTGTAATGTGTATTTTCACTATGATAAATGAAAATACTGGAAGTTTATTGTAACTATAAGCCATTAAAATAAGAGGTTCATGTTTCTCACACAAAGTGAAACCTTCTGTCTTTAGATACGGGATGGAACATCTTTGTGTCTGACTGTAGTTACACCCAATGAACCATGGCCTTCATCATGCACGTGTATGAAATCATGTACAACACACTTTTGTGGCTGCTCCTATCACCCTGCTTCCAGTAAAGAGGTGAAACATGCACCAATAATGAGGAAACAAACATTCTCACACACAGGTCCTTTCCTTCTGACTGCCACTCTGCAGATATTCATTTTTTTAACCCATGAACAGTAAATTCATTTAATTCCCTCATTATATCTGTCAGCAGAAGACAGAAAGCAAAATGAAACTTCTGGCTCAGCATAAGCCAGGGTCATTGGTCTGAGTCTGGCCCATATTCTTCCATATATGGGCAGATTACAGCTGTCATCATCGTCATTGACTGACAGCTGAAAGATTTTCTGTGTGAGTGCCAGAATTGGTCCAGATGTGGAAGTAGCATCTGACAATCACACTACATGTGGGCCAGACTTTAAACAAGGAAAATGCAGATACTTTGATGAAGAGAATTGCTTTATGGAATCCACTATCACCCTGTCTGTCACAAAGTCCATTACAATAAAGCTTTTAAAAGCTTTTACTGTTCTCTCTTTTTAAAAGAAGTGATATAACGTGCATGGCTAAGTCTCACATTAAAATCAAAAGGTAAATCTTAGACAAGCTGTATACATGTTTCTTGTGTCACTTTTTGGATGATTTATTTAACTATTTAACTATTTGATGAAGATCCTTTTAGTGTATTATGAAGTGAATAGAGTGAGCTGATGAGGTGAATTGTGGTTAACATAAGGTGAGGGTTCTTACTGTATCTGGGTTTCTAATGATCCTGGTCAATGTTTGTATGTTTTATTACCTACATCTGAGTGATTGTTGACCGGACAACCCAGATACTGTTGCTGATATATTACAGATCGTGTCTTCACGATCATTCAGCAGACAGCAGAGAAAGACGCATTTGGTTTTACATGTGTATTTTCAGTGGTTAGCAGCAAACCAGAGTGAGAACAAATAAGATACAGCACCGAGATCAGAATCTGATCAACTCTGACTACGCTGATTGTATTTTTGTTTTCTTTTTTGACAACATGGCTGGTGAGTTCAGATTATTTTCTCTATTATTATTCTGTCTGGGCTACTATTGACTATTATCTCCATGCTCCTTTCAATTATTTTCTATCCACGCTGAGCAATATTCATTAACTCAAACAAATACATTGTTAAGTGATACAAAAAGATGTCTTGGTTCAAATAATACTTAACAATAAAACAAATATTGTTTTATTTGCATTGCAATACAAATGAGTTGTTTATTTGGATTCCTGTCAATAAAATTCTGAGGTCAGTCATTAAAAAAGTAACTTCCTTAGCTTTTCTTTTCCACAGCATTAATGCTTGGTTTTTGTTGTTTGTCACTTAGCCTACAGTTAGTTAGTTACTGTATAATGTTAGGTGGCCCTCTCATGTGATCTGATATGTATCTCATAATATGATTCATGATCAATCCAGATCGATCATTCATAGTGAGGTAGACAATGTAAGGTAAGCTGTTTGTGAATAAAAAAGAATAAGTGTTGAGAAGCCTCCTTCAAAAAAAAAAAAAAATCAATATTATCTCAGTTTTAATTTCAAGCCCTAAATGAGAAAAATGCCGGTTTCCTTTGGAGAACCTTGATTCCTGCATCAGTGAAACGTAGCTACAATTAGCATTTAAAAGTAGTTTCCTTTCTTGCTGTTGCTCTATAACTTCTGTAACTGATTGCAGTTCATCAATCAATGAAAAAGTCATTTAGTTTGGGTTTACATACTTTATATGATGAAATATATGTACAGGTACACTTAACTAAAACTAATGCAGTTTAATACAACAGTCCTGCAATGAGTCCTCCGTCATGATGGTTTGTTGAAACCATGTTAAAGAGGTGTTGATTCAACTGGATGGTTATTTTTGAGGATGTACATGTCCATGGTGCAGTTGAATTGTGTTGTATTATGCTGAAAGGTGTTCCTATTATTTTGTCCAACCCATTTAAATTACTGTAATGAGGGCACGTTTAGCAACTGACACACCTCTTTATTTCAATTTACTGTCCATAGTTGCCTTTGGCCAAAGTCCGCCGTCATTCTTGATTGAGGCTGAGATTACAAAGCATGTCTGCAGAGTGCAGCGCTACATACTGTGCAATATTCTGTCCCTGCTGTGACAGGAAAGGTGACTAATCAGAATACTGAATGAACACAAGTGACAAGCTAAGAGAAGAAGCAAGAAACTAAATGTATGTTAGAGAAATAAAGTTCATCTGAGACATTATTCTTTTCCAGTGCCACCAACAAGGAGGATTATCCTCCTTGGGAAAACTGGAGCTGGGAAAAGCAGCCTTGGCAGCACCATATTCGGAGAGACCGTGTTCAAGATAAACCAGTTGCCCGTCTCACAAAAAAGTGTTTGCCGAGCAGAGTCAAAACTCGTCAAGGGAAGAAACGTAACTTTGATTGACACACCAGGATTCTTCGACACAGGCACATCAGAGGAGGACATGCAGTCTGAAATACTTCAGTGCATCATGGAGAGTGCTCCCGGGCCTCATGCTTTTGTCCTTGTGCTTAAAGTGGAGCAAGTCACAGATCACGAGAAGGAAGTCATCTCAAAAATGAGCCAGTACTTCTCAGAGGAGGCTTTACGATACACTGCAATTGTCTTCACTCATGGCGACCAGCTGCCTGAAGGAATGAAGATTCAAGAGTTCGTCGGTCAGAGCGAAGGTCTGATCGATCTTGTTAAAAAGTGTGGCGGCCGTTGTCATGTCATTGATAACAAATACTGGAACCGTCAACCACAGAGTGAATACAGGAGCAACCAGTTCCAGGTGGAAGAGCTACTCAACACTATTGACAAAGTAGTGATGGACAACAAAGGTGGTCACTACACAAATGAGTTACTACAAGCAATGGAGAAAGAAATGAATGAAGAGGAAGAACGACTTAGACAGGAAGGAAATGTATGTCAGAAAGACACCAGAGAGAAAAGTAAAACTGCTGTCTATAAGAAGAATATTGCCAAATTCGCAGGCATCGCAGGTAAAGGGCTGATGATTGGGGCACTGCTTGGACCAGAGGCTGCAATTTTAATCAGTGCCATAAAAGGTGTGAGCACAATTAGACAAGCAGCGACAAAAGAGGGACCAGGAACAGAGAAAGCATCAAACGAAGAAACAGCTGCAGAGGGAAAAGGTGCGGTAGAGGAACAAACAGCAGCAACACCAGGTAAAAGAGTACTGACAGCAGTGGTGAAGGGAGCAGAGATGGCAAAAACAGCAACTGGTTACCTCTCTTTAATGAAAGTACTTGGAGCAAAAGATGCACAGGCAGAAGAAACCGCAGAGGGGGAAGAAGCAGCACAACAAGGTGAAACAGCAGCAGAGGCAGTGGATGGAGCAGCAGTGACCACAGCAGTAGAGGGAATAGCAGAAGCATCAGTTGAAGGAGCAGCAGAGGTGGCAGCAGCAGCGGAGGGAGCGTCAGAGGGAGCGGCGGCAGCGGTAGAGGGGTTTGCAGAAGGAAGTGACGCCATGGCAACTGTGGTGGCAGTGGCAGAGGCAGCAGCAGAAGCCTGTTGCCTTCAGTGAATGAACCGACTGCTGACAGACACATGTTGTTGACCTGCTGATAAGGGCATCACATCAGAAGTTGCTTTTATATGTTGTTGTAGAGGAAATGACCGAATGCAATACGTGTCCAGACTGTGAGCAAAAAAAAAAGAATCAGGAACATGACAATTTCATAGCTCAAGCACTAATTAGATGGAAATATTAACTATTCTCTTTGTATGTTTCACTTATTACATCCTGAAATTGTAATTAACCACTTTGTAATTTATTTTATATTTCTGTCAGTTAATCAGATATAGTCTCTGAACAAGTCCTCAGTGATCAGGCAGTACACATTCAAGACGACAAGTTAATACTCCTACAAGTTTCCAGTAATATAGTAGGAAAAAAATATTCATCATATCTAACTAAAAAAGGTTAATCAGTAATAGATACATGATCAAATGAGTTTTAGGTGTTGAATTAAGAAGATGAGTTTCTGTTCTTGATGTCTTTGCTGTGCTAATGTATGTGTTCCATGATTGTTTTTCATATAAATAATAAAAGATATGATTGTTCACATATTTCTTTTTCTCTTAATAAATCCTTTAACACTGGCTGTTGATGATGTTACTCTGTCAAATCACAGGATGTAAACTGTTCATGCGCTTCGTGCAGTATATTTAAATCAAAGGATGCTCCATGTACTGACACAATGATCACACACTGTATACAGTATAGTATAACCCACCCTTCATCTCCTAAGGGGTTATTTTTGCTGTTTCTCTGGTGTCCTCAGAAACCACAAAAAGATACATAATATAAAAAACTTGTGAGAGTAAAAGCCGTGAAATATTTTGAGTTTATGTCTCGTGTCTCAAAAAAGAAAAGATGTTAAAGCTGTTCATCAATCAACAATAATGCGGAAATACGAAAATAGTCTTCAAACAAACACCATTTCAGTATGTGATGATGGGTGTGAAGGTGAAGCTGCTGTGTGGCGTCTTATCACTTCCGTTTGCTGTTTCCCTTCAGCTCTTCTTTGCTCATTTCACACGATACAGATGAGAACTGGAAAACTAAGCACTTGATCATTTTGTTGAGTTATTTCCTTTATTGTGGATGAATTTCAGCCCACAACCTATTGCAGCAGTATTTACATTTGTTTGATGTTTGAAACTGAATGCAGCTCTGTCTCCTGAGTTTTTTCTTCCAGTTCAACCTAAACTCACTGTGTTTGTGTTAATAATCACTTGTTGAACACAAAGTAATCCTAAACCTTATCAACGAACATCAGCAAACTGCTGGTATCAGTTTCCACTCGTAACGTGTGTCTTGTAAAAGAGCCCTGCCTTGTTTACAGTGAGTGGAAGTTCACCACAAAGTCACTTGGAGAGCAGCCACGTCAAACAGACACCAAAACTATTTCAAACCAAGCACGAGCGAGAAACGGGAAAGGAGTTACAGAGTGAAGACGCAGAGTTCGTACGAGTCTAAACTTCACACCGTGTCGATTTCTGTTTTCACAACATGGATGGTGAGTTACATTGACTTGTTCAAATCATTTTCATTTCGCTGCAACAAACTTTTCATGACCGCTCTCTGTCTGACTCTCACTCACTCACGGTTTTTACCTGGCTGTGGTTTCTGGTAAAATAGTGCTGCAGAATCAGAATGAGAATCAGAAACAAACAGAGGCTTTAAAGAATCGTTCTAATCAAGGATCTAGTTCAACTGTGCTGAGAAGTTTTCACATTGGTGAATTGTCATGGCGCCATGCTCATGATTACTTCCTCTTTGCTTAAATAGATAAGAAATATACAATATATTTGATACTGTGAATCACACTGTTCTTCCTAAAGTTAGGCTGTTTCCTAAAACTGAAACATGATCCTTCCCATTTTGTAAAATTAGCTACCCTGCTCATTTGCCATCACAGTACCATGGCTGTCATCTTAGATATGTGATAAGAAAGAGTTTCATTTCTGGAAGTCGGAGCACAGGAGATAATCAGTTATGTGTACGTGCAGTACGTGACGTTTATGATGGTTGTCTAGTTATTTATTAAGCTTTCATGTCTTTTAAGAAGAAAAAATATCTGACATGGTTCTTGGTAAGAAGTACACACAACTACATTACACTAAACAACTACACTAAATGATCAGTGTGATTGATAAGCTATCCAGTTTTCAATTGCTGGTGCATTAAAATGAAAAGATGGATATGTAACTGGTCTTACTGGTGTCACTTCCTGGAAAATAAGTTCAACAATAAGGCAAGGCAAGGTACATGGCAGATTTCATACACAGGCAATTCATATTCTTTACATAAAAATAGATTAAATAAAAAAAGATGGAGATGTATAAAGCTATCTCTGCTATACTCATGGCCAAAAAAAAGAATCAAAGACAGCTTTGCTAGGACGTTTGTTCTTAAAGTGTTGTGTCCATTGTGATTGTTGATTCACGTGTATATGTGTGTGACTAAATATATAGTAGCAAGAGAACGTACAAAAGTACAGGGTCATTACAGGTTGGTTATTCTCTTTCAGTGCCAGATACAAAGAGGATTGTCATCGTGGGAAAAAGTGGAGCTGGGAAAAGCAGCCTAGCCAACACTATATTTGGTGATCAAGTATTCCAGACAGATAATTCTCCCAAATCTGGAACAACCAAATGTAAAGCAGTAACCAAATCTGTCAATGGGAGAAGAATCACTTTGATCGACACTCCTGGTTTGTTTGACACAAACAAGTCTGAGGAGGAGCTGAAGCCTGAGATAGTGAGGTGTATCACAGAGTGCGCTCCTGGGCCTCATGCTTTTCTCATTGTGTTTAAAGTGGATAGATTCACCGAGCAAGAGCAGGATGTCATCAACAGAATATCTCAGTATTTCTCTGAAGCAGTTCTGAAATATGCTGTAATTCTCTTCACTCATGGCGACCAGCTTGATGAAGGAAAGAAGATTGAGGATTTTGTCAGTCAGAGTGAGGATCTGAGTGATCTGGTGAAGAAATGCGGCAACCGGTGTCACGTCATTGATAATAAATACTGGAAGAAGACGGAGCAGGATGAATACAGGAGCAACAAGTTCCAGGTGGCAGAGCTGCTCAACACATTTGACAAGATAGTGAAGGAAAACAATGGAGGCTGCTATACCAATGAAATGCTGCAAAAAATTGAGAGAGACATACAAAATGAGGAAACGACTATTAGACAGACATTCACAAACATGTCACAGGAAGAGGTCAGAAATGAAGCCAAAAAAATAGTGTCAGCAAGCATTTTAATCCAGTTGACAGGTATAGGGATAGGCATGTTGTTCGGAGGTTTACTTGGTGTGCCAGCAATGGTTACAAAGCTTGTGGAACACTTGCAGTCACCAAAAGCAGTAGCAGTAACACTAGCAAAAGATACAATGAACATAGCAGTGAATGTAGTTAGAGCAGGTTATACAGGATATTGTGCAGTTAAGGATTCAAAATCAACAAAGGAGGCGGCAGAGAAGGCCATTGAGGCCGTCATGAAAACTATGGATATGCCAAGAATTCAAGGAAAGGAGCCAACCTAAAGTGATTTTTGTACTGTAGGTTTGGTGGGGTTTTTGTTTGTTTGTTTGTTTGTTTGTTTTATCATCAGGGAACATGACACAGGAAGAGATCAGATAACAGGCTAAAAAGAGTTGTAAACATGAGTTTGATCGAATCTGTTGGTGTTAGCTTTAGGTGATCAGCAAAGTCATTAGCAACCCATCCAGTTGAGTATTTCAGTTTCTTGTTTTTCATGTTTGACCAAAAGGGGTGAACTAACTGACATTGCCATCCACAGAGCCACTGTATTAGTGTGGCTAAAAAGAGTAATATGGTTTGGACAATGTATTAATTAATTAATGTGTACATGTCAGTGTGATAACCAATGAGTAAGTAAAGCACAAACAGCAATGGATGAATGAATAAGTCATCAAATTATGAATAATCCATTTCTTTAGTCAAAATCAATTCAGCTTAAATAAGTCAAAACTTATTCATCATGGTTTCAGAAACAATGAAGTCGTCACACCATAATGTGAAAGACTTCTGTAATTACAAATACTGGAACAGTCAACCACAGAGTGAATACAGGAGCAACCATTTCCAGGTGGAAGAGCTACTATAATAGAAAAATCATAGTCTGCACTTTGTCTAACCTGGTTTGAACTTTGTATGACTTGGCTTTGTATAAGCTTGAATGGGAATCTGTTCCCACCTGTATGCTCTTTATCAGATACTGTCCAGTACAAACTAAGGAGTAGTTTGTCCTTGAACATGCAGTGATTCCTTCTTTCTTTTTTCTATAAAGTTCATGTACACTCTTTGTTCAATATCAGTCTGCAATTGCACTCTGTGTGACTGTACACTGATACTTTGTAAAGCTCTTATTAAAATATACAAAGACGACTTGATCATTTTGTAAATATATTTTATTTTAGTGCCTCGATATGAATATTGAAATTTAGACAATCCATGAGTTTTAGGTGTTGAATTAAGATGTGTTTCTGTTCTTTATGTCTTTGCTGTGCTAATGTATGTGTTCCATGATTGTTTTTCATATAAATAATAAAAGATATGATTGTTCACATATTTCTTTTTCTCTTAATAAATCCTTTAACACTGGCTGTTGATGATGTTACTCTGTCAAATCACAGGATGTAAACTGTTCATGCGCTTAGTGCAGTATATTTAAATCAAAGGATGCTCCATGTACTGACACAATGATCACACACTGTATACAGTATAGTATAACCCACCCTTCATCTCCTAAGAGGTAATTTTTTGCTGTTTCTCTGGTGTCCTCAGAAACCACAAAAAGATACATAATATAGAAAAACTTATGAGAGTAAAAGCCGTGAAATATTTTGAGTTTGTGTTTCGCGTCTGAAAATGAAAAGACGGTAAAGCTCAATCAACAATAATGCGCAAATACGAAAATACTCTTCAAACAAACACCATTTTCAAAGTAATACTAAACCTTATCAACGAACATCAGTAAACTGCTAGTATAAGTTTCCACTCCTAACGTGCGTCTTGTAAAAAAGCCCTGCCTTGTTTACAGTGAGTGGAAGTTCACCACAGTCACTTGAAGGGCAGCCACGTCAAACAGAAACCGAAACTATTTCAAAGTTCAAACCAAGCACGAGTAAGAAACGGGAAAGGATTCACAGAGTGAAGACGCAGAGTTTGTACGAGTCTAAACTTCACACCGTGTCGATTTCTGCTTTCACAACATGGATGGTGAGTTACATTGACTTGTTTGAATCATTTTGTGACAGCACTGAACTTTGGTTGGACACACACATAAATGTAAAGAAAACATTTTACGGTGCTAAAAGTGTTCATTTCGCTGCAACAAACTTTTCATGACCTCTCTCTGCCTGACTCTCACTCACTCACGGTTTTTACCTGGCTGTGGTTTCTGGTAAAATAGTGCTGCAGAATCAGAATGAGAATCAGAAACAAACAGAGGCTTTAAAGAATCGTTCTAATCAAGGATCTAGTTCAACTGTGTCATGATTACTTTCCTCTTTGCTGAAATAGTTTTCCTAAAGTTGGGCTGTTTCCTATAACTGAATGATCCCAACACACATACACATACTCCAGCTGGCGTAAAAGTTCCTCTCTCTTTCTCTCGCTCTCTCTCTCAAATTACTTCATGCAACCACCCACCCAAATTCACCAGCCGCTTAATAATAACACAGATACTTTCGATACTTCCTTGTTGTTTAAAACTAGTCCAAATGAATCATTATACAACATGACCTAACAGACAAACAACCCAGTACCACACCTGCAGAGGCTGTAGACAATCACAGTCTCATCTGTTCAGGTAAGGTTAACCTCTTATGGGTGCTGTCTGTGGTGCTTATTTTCAGTGTATAAACTCATACACAATCTCAAGTGGACTGATTAAATGACAATAACCACATAAAAAAATGCACATGTACATGGTTACATGGGCACTTTAGTTAAACAGTAAAGCCACAGAGACAGAAGGGGCTGTGCATTTCACCTACCCTATTAGAAGAGGAAGGACATTGTCCTGTCTCATGGTGGTGAGGTAGTCGGTAACTATGTCATAGAATTTCAGACTTGTATTTGGGTCCTCAACAACAACAGTCAATGAACAACTTGACATGTCTGTCCTGCTTGGAGAGTGTGCCCTGTAGATCATCCACTTCTACAGCAATGATTGGCGACATGTTTAGTGAAGCGTAGTTTAGTGTCAAACTCTGCAAATGTGTGTAGCAGCTCCACAGAATTGGTCTCGTTTGAGCTGCGCTCGGACTCATTCTTTCCCGTGAGTGCCTGTTCTTGGCGGATAAGATACAAAGCTGCAACACTGAGTCCCTGTTGTATTTCTTTGTTGTGCTTCTTGTCAAGTCCAGAGCCTTGTCATTCCTTAATTGATTTAATTGCCCATGACCATCACCCAGTCGCCCATAACAGGTTGGCAAATGATGAATCCTGGAATACGCCAAGGATTTTTCAGTGAGCATGAATCCTTGTGAGAAAGCCCAGCAAAATAACTACAGAAGTTTAGCTCTACCAGCTAGCCGCTCCTTGCAGACATGATTTTCCTCATTCAAAGTCACAGGTTGTGTCCAAAATCATTCACTCATTCACTATACTCCCAATTCACTATCCAGGGAGTTCTATGTAGAGGACTATATAGTGAGCTCATCTGTAAAATGATGCATTATTGGATACTGTGAGACCACTATTTAGGATAATTTGCATAATCCTTTTTTCTTCTCAGTATGTAGCTCTAGTTTTGCTGTTGGCCTGCTGTCAGATTTAATTTAAAAGTTCCTGATGTAATGGTAGTTCAGTAAAATTATTAATTTTTTTACTAAAAATCTGCCCCCTCCATAACTACACTTGCTAATGTTAAAGGTGGACTAGCACAGTAAAGAAGTTACTGCTATTCCTGTTATTATTTCTTTACACTCTATATTTCCTGCACATCACAGTTAATTTTTAGACATTTTTAGGGACCATGCGTCATGAAAAAAGAGCAAGAAAGAGACAGTACTGATAGTGATTATTTTCTCCTAGTGCAAAACGCATGGAGGATCGTCCTGCTTGGAAAAACTGGAGCTGGGAAGAGCAGCCTTGCTAACACCATATTTGGAAAAGATGTATTCAAAGTCACTCATTCTCTCGACTCAGGAGCAAGTATTTGTCAAGCAAAGTCTGGATCTGTCAAAGGAAGAAGCCTCACTTTGATCGACACTCCTGGTTTCATCAATCCAGACAGGTCTGAGGAAGAGCTGAAGCCTGATATACTTGGGTGCATCACAGAGTGCGCTCCTGGNATCAGTCTGCAATTGCACTCTGTGTGACTGTACACTGATACTTTGTAAAGCTCTTATTAAAATATACAAAGACGACTTGATCATTTTGTAAATATATTTTATTTTAGTGCCTCGATATGAATATTGAAATTTAGACAATCCATGAGTTTTAGGTGTTGAATTAAGATGTGTTTCTGTTCTTTATGTCTTTGCTGTGCTAATGTATGTGTTCCATGATTGTTTTTCATATAAATAATAAAAGATATGATTGTTCACATATTTCTTTTTCTCTTAATAAATCCTTTAACACTGGCTGTTGATGATGTTACTC